TACAATACATGGAGCATTTCAACTATTACGCTTTATTAATTATTACAACTAAACAACTATCTTAGTGTATACACTTAAATTAAATAAAAAGACATCGATTTGTGTTTTTGTAACCAAGAAGTTTCGACCGCAAGATCAAATCATGTTAATTAATTCACCCGGGTACTCGACCATATTGGTTAGTTAGCTAACTTTGTTATCTATGTTACCACTTCAACAGCTAGTTCCCATTCAGAACAGAATATACTTCCGTCACCGGTTTCAAACCTCATTTTATTTTGGCAATACCTTCCGCAAAAACTGCAGATTGGCCGAGTGAAACCATAGTTTGGAACTATATTAACCTTCTCATAATTATGTACCTTGATATTCTGAGCAGGCTTCATATACGAGCCGTCTTTCCCTTGAAAACAATAAATATGAAGTGCGACACCACATTCATTACACGTATAAAGCCACTCGGGTGAATCAATTTCTACCTCACAAACCTCACACCAATTGAGACTTGTATTCTCTTCGTAAGATAGAGTGAGAAAATGTTGGTCATGCTCATATCTCACTTTATATGGTAATGTGGCACAACGAATACACAAAATGAAGTCACATTTGAGACAGTTTAAATGTCGAGACCCCTCTCTTCTGCATATTGAACATGTTTGATAAATTCCTACAGTTGTTAGAAACAAAGGATGCATATGACATTGATGGTCAAATGGCTCAGATACAGCAACACATCGCACATCTGCTTCCCATATGTTACTCGCATATTTAAAACCACACGTGTAACGCTGACAAAGTTGACAATTAAAATAATTTGTGGTGTCACTTATTTGTAGAGCAAGTCGGTGAGGATACGCCATGTGTTGTTTTGTTCGGGGAAAATTTGCACATGCTTCATGGAGTACAAAATCACACGTCGAATTCATACATTTGTAAACATCACCATCATAAAGAAGAAGTACGCATGCTTGACACTTCTTGTTTTCATCATACGGCATGTCGCTCCCATCTTCATGTCTCATGTGATGTGGATGGCTAAAATGTTGTATAACTCCATCACCTATAAACTTAATCGAATTGAGATTTTCATATATTTCTTCTTGTTCGTCTTCTAGTTCTTGTCCATCCAACACATCTTCTCGAGTTGCACATTTTGAATGCACTACGTAAGTGTAATCTTTCATGCATGAGTATTTTCCACAACTTTCGTCAACATTTAGACGACAAACTCCACAAGACAATTTTCCAGAAGAAGAAGAATATGTAAAAATGATACGGTGTTCATGGCGAGATATCCGTATGACAAATGGTAAGTATATACATGTTTTATGGACAATGAAATCACATTGAAGACATAAATAGATGAAAGACTTGTTATCATCAACTAACCCACAAACATCACACATCAAATTGGTTTTTCTCGGAAAGTAGTTGAGGATATGCTCATGCCTTTTTTTATAGTCCAGGAATGGCGGTATTCTCGCACAAACAAGGTGTATACTAAAACTACAAAGAGAGCAATAGTAAAATAAACGAAAAAGAAATGATCCACAATAACAACATGACATTATCATGTTCAACCTATCAACCTTAGTATAATCCCTATTAAAGTCGACAAACCGATTAAATATGAGAAGTTGAAGGTTGTGTTTGGGGTGATAAAAAGATTTGATTAGAAGTGGAGACTCGACGCATTCTTTGTAGTAAAATACTTTACATTCATTGCAAAAATAATAATTTGTACCGTTTGATTTACATTGACAAGCACCACACTGAAACTCATCTTTTGATTCTTTGTTGTTGCACCAAAATAAAGAGTAAAGTTGGTGGCGAAAATGTGAAGAGTTGTCGTCTTTGACATATGGAAAAGTCATCCGCATTGTCGATTATGATATAGTAATCATCAATTTTCTTGCAAGAATCTCGTTTACTAAATTCGAATCGTTCAGTAGGGCAAATGAGACGAGAAACTAGTGGATTTTCGATGGAAGTCATGGCTATTAGTACTCAAAAGAAGTTGATTATTATAGATAATGAGAGTTTAGAGTTTAGTTTTTATGATTTATGACTTGACTAAAT